TTGCAGAAAGCAAACGTAGCCTCTCAATATGCACAAATTAGGTCGTGGATACAACGAACTTCCAACTTCCGCTATGGAGAAAAAGACCGTCCTCACAGCCCTCCAGGCCCATCACGGTTCCCTAGATACTCCACTGGAGACCTACACAACCAGGTGTGGAAAGCCAACATAGCCTCCCCAACTTATGCCATTTGCTTCGTTGTATCCACGACCATGTTGTGGATACAACGAACTTCCACCTCCTCAATGGAGAAAAAACACTTTCCGCACAGCCCTCAAATGACTACCATGATTCCCAAGACACTCCACTGGAGACCTGCGCAACCAGTTTCCGCACCCGCAGAGAGCCTACGTAGCCTCCCAATATGCACAAATTGGGACGGTCGTGGATACAATGAACTTCCAACTCTTCTATGGAGAAAAAGACCGTCCGTCCTCACCCTCCAAGCCCATCATGGTTCCCTAGATACTCCACTGGAGACCTACACCGCCAGTTTCCACACCAACACAGCCTCAATATGCACAACCCACGCCATTTGTTGTATCCACCGTATGAACGAACTTCCAGCTTGGCGCTGCTTCGGATGACTTTTAAGGAGTCCCGCTTCTGCTGACTTGGCTGAGTAGAACATCATGACTCATCCGCAGCATCACTTGCAGTCATCATGATAATCATGTCCACGCATCTTTTGCATCGGCATCGCCAGTCGCATGATAATCATCAGGACGCATCCTCAGCATCACCAGCAGTCATGATGATAATCATGACGACGCATCCTCTGCAGCACCAATGCTGTCTAACGCCGCGCTTGAAATGTATACTATAGAAAGAGATGGTCATGACTACGATGATGATGATGATGATGATGATATTGATGACGAGGGTGACAAGGATGATGACTGTGATGGTAATTGTCCTGCTGTCATCATGATAATCATGTAGTTCAGCAATCATCATGATTGTCATGTCCAATCAGCATCACCAGCAGTCATGATGATAATCATGACTACGCATTCTCTGCATCACCGATGGCGCCTGACGCCACACTTGAAATGTATAGTATAGAAATAGAAAGAGATGTTGATGACTACGACGATGATGATGATGACGAGATTGATGACGAATCGGAAGATCAGCATCATGACGCATCCTGAGCATCACCAGAATTCATCGATAAGCATGTCCACGCATCTTTTGCATTTCAAATAGGATGACAATCATCATGACGCACCCTCAGCATCACCAGCAGTCATCATGATAGTCATGACCACGCATCCTCTGCATCACCAACGGTGCCTAACGCCCACAGTTGAAATGTGTAGTATAGAAATAGAAAGAGATGCTGATGACTACGGTGATGATGATGATGATGATGATGATGATGATATTGACGACGAGGGCGACAAGGATGATGACTGTGATGGTAATTGTCCTGCAGTCTTCATAATAATCATGTAGTCCAGCAATCATCATGGTTGTCATGTCCACGCATCTGCAGCATTTCAATTCGGCTGATAATCATCATGACGCATGCTGGATGATAATCATCATGACGCATCCTCAGCATCACCAGCAGTCATGATGATAATCATGACTACGCATTCTCTGCATCACCATCGGTGCCGAACGCCACACGTGAAATGTATAGTATAGAAAGAAATGCCGATGACTACGATGATGATGATGCCGAGATTGATGACAATCGGAAGATCAGCATCATATATGACGCTTCCTGAGCATCACCACGAGTCATCGTGATAAGCATGTCCACACATCTTTGCATTTCAATTAGGATGATAATGATTATCATCTCATGACGCATCCACAGCATCGCCAGCAGTCATCATGACAATGATGACTGCCTCTGCATCACCAATGGTATCTAACGCCACACTTGAAATGTATAGTTTAGAATAGAAAGAGATGCTGATGACTACGACGCATCCTCAGCATCACCAGCAGTCATGATGATAATCATGACTACGCATTCTCTGCATCACCGATGGCGCCTGACGCCACACTTGAAATGTATAGTGTGGAAATAGAAAGAGATGCTGATGACTACGATGATGATGATCACGAGGTTGATGACAAATTGGAAGATGAGCAGCATGATGCATCCTCAGCATCACTTGCAGTCATCATGATAAGTATGTCCACGCATCTTTTGCATTTCAAACAGGATGACAATCATCATGATGCATCGCCAGCACTCATCATGACAATCATGACTACGCACCCTCTGCATCACCAATGGTCTCTAACGCCACACTTGAAATGTATAGAAAGAGATAGTGATGACTACGATGATGATGATGATGATGATGATGATATGGACGACGAAGGTGACAAGGATGATGACGGTGATGATAATTGTCCAGCAGTCACCATGATAATCATGTAACAGTCCAGCAATCATCATGATAATCATGTACGCGCATCTGTAGCATTTCAATTCGGCTGATATTCATCATGACGCATCCTGAGCATCACCAGCAGTCATCATGATAATCATGTCCATGCATCTTTTGCATCTACAATCGGATGATAATCATCATGAGGCATCCTCAGCATCACCACAGCCTCTGCATCACCAATAGTGTCTAACTAACGCCCTTGAAATGTATAGAATAGAATAGAAAGAGATGCTGATGATTACGATGATGATGATGCGGACATTGATGGTGTCTAACGCCACAATTGAAATGTATAGTATAGGAAGAGATGCTGATGACTACGATGGTGATCATGACGATATTGATGACGAATCGGAAGATCAGCATCATGACGCATCCTGGGCATCGCCAGGAGTCATCATGATAAGCATGTCCACGCATCTTTTGCTTAGCATGTCCACGCATTTTTTGCATCTCAAATCGGAGCTACAATTTAAGTCGAAAAAACGAGATGATGATGACCATCATGATGGCGATCTTGTCGCCACCCTTCCCGTTTGCCTCCCCTTAGGAGAAGGGGTCGGCGGATATGCGCTTTCCGTGGGTGGATAGGGTTCTTTGTCATGGAGAAGGCTCATAAAGTGTAAACTCGTTGCCAGTCAACTTAACAGCTCGACTGAACAGTCAGGACAAGCGGCACTTGTGTTGACGAATAGCTTTGTGTTTGGTCTCTCCCACTTGTCAACGTGTTCGGAAAGGCATTCCGAGCCCTCCTGCACTCGCTAGCTTGCAAAGGCTGCTACAGTGCTCGATTTGGCAACGAGTCATTGTTTGGTTTTTGAGCTTTCAAGTGATCCTGCATCTTTCGACGATTCCACTTGTCGTCTTGGGGCTTTCCCCGTTTCATTGTTTTCACTCCATGGCAAAACGGCGAAGCGACGTTCGCGCCGATCACGGCTGCGGTACTGCATTTGGAAGCCGGGAGTCTATGCTCGTCATCCATTGTAGCAAGCAGGGTGATCCTTGCAAAACTGCCAGACATGATTGGAACTTCTTATTTTCTTGGAGTGTCTTGGGGTATGTAAGTTTGTCCGCAAACGAACTATGGACACGAAAGATGAGTAAACCCAAAATCCACTGTAGCAGGGACCGGCTGGATATTGGCTTTGGCTCATGTCATGCGCTGGCGCTGTGCCATTGTAAATCCAGCATTCATGTTAGGGACCATGCAAAATTGCACGGATAGTGAGATGCGTGGGATTGCGCTGTCATTGGGTAGGGCGGTATCACAAAAGTGGACCTCCCCCCGCCTTTTGCCCCGTGCCTTTGGCGCAACTGGAGACTGCTTCGCAAGCAAACTTGGAGGATGTTTCAAGTGCACCGCGAAAAGCAGCGACTTCTCCTCGCGCTCCGACTTGTTTCATGGACTGGTTTACTCAGTGACCTTCCGCAACGTCTTGGGCTATTCGGGGCCGCTCCCTCGTGGAGCCGCTAATTTCCGTGCCCCGCGAAACGAGCTTCTGAATTTGGCAAACCTATTTCAGTTGGTCACGTGGGCGCCCTTCAACTTTGGATTTCCGTCTGGAGCACCACTAGAGAAATCCTTATCAATCGATTGCCCACTAAAGACTTCAACCGACCAAATGAGGGAGCCATAGCCTACCACAGGGCTGCTGAAAAGAACCTAGAAAGCAAGGGTTGTGGGTTCTAGTGACGATTGACGACAGACTTTTGGGGCCAACGCCCCATGCTCTGATGCTCTGATTTGACCTCTGGCCAGGGTCGGTGGCAAAAAAGTTTGAATCCTGAATACAGCAAGCAATCAAAGTATGCTGGACACGTTTTGATCATGTTTTGCACGGAGTGATTCGGCCCCTCCCCACACCCAAGGGGTAAGAACGCAAGGCAACCCCCTAAGAGGGGCTGTTGGGTTGGCCCAGCTCAGGACCCTCAGAGCCATTGGTTTCCCCTGAACGATCCGCCTTTTGACTGGCCCTTTTTCTTGGGCTGAACACAAGACAGGGTTTTTGAGTTTCCTTTTATTGGTGGATTTCATCATCTTGTTTCCAAAAGACATCGAGTTGGAACCCTCCCTTGCTGACTGCTTTTATTTATGTTCAGGACAATGGAATGTCAGCCCAGCATTTGTCCTCTGAGGTTGGTTGAAGTCCTGGGTGCTAAATGAATGTTGTCTGACGGAGTTGTGTTCGTTCGAAGCCCCTGCTGGAATTCGCCAGGAAAAAGCAATAAACTCTCTGGAGTTTGCACCCAAAGGCTTAGACCCATTGGGTCTTCATTGAAACAAGCAAAACCCGCAGTTTAAGCCTGTTTGTCCGCGTCTTTTTAGGTTTGGCGTCGCTCAGTTCCGCAGCTTGGAGAGCCTCCAAAGTCAGAAGCTGATTAGCGAAGACAGAATTATGGGAGTCAAACATTCACAACAATCAAAATCGGGTCCACATCTGACCCACAGCAATGGTCAGGCTTTTTTTGGATGCTGCCACATACCCAACTTTTTCCTGAGGTATGATGCCAATCCCTGACTAAACAAAGGTGGCGTCACAAGGCGGGTATTGGAGAGGGTCGGAGAGAGTTCCTCTCGCCAGGCTCTGAGGTGAGGCTGCTTCCCTTGGACACGGTCAACGTGTCGGTGGCAGAGGCCCCTGGATCTCCGATTCGGTTACTTGGGGATTGGGCTTCCTGGAGGTACCAAATGTTGGGGGTTGGTACTGATGGTCATGAACCTCTTACCGCGGGGGAAACCTCTTTAAAGGGATGTGATTTGGGTGGGTGCAATGGGGGCTCAAGAAAAACTCACGGAGCTGGGGGCGGTTCTCCTTTGGGCTTGGAGCATGAGCCTTAGCCATACCTGTTTCTTTCGCATCCCAGCCCCTCTCCAACCCGCAGGTCGGCCAACAGAATGCATTGAACACCATGGACCCGAAACAATGAACTCCGATTTCCAAAAGAAGATTCCTCGAATGTTGTTCTATCCTGTTCTGGGCTGCGTGAAACCGAGATTCACCCCACCCCCCACCCCACCCCACCCCACCCCACCCCACCCCACCCCACCCCACCCCACCCCACCCCACCCCACCCCACCCCACCCCACCCCACCCCACCCCACCCCAACCCCACCCCACCCCACCCCACCCCACCCCACCCCACCCCACCCCACCCCACCCCACCCCACCCCACCCCACCCCACCCCACCCCACCCCACCCCACCCCACCCCACCCCACCCCACCCCACCCCACCCCACCCCACCCCACCCCACCCCACCCCACCCCACCCCACCCCACCCCACCCCACCCCACCCCACCCCACCCCACCCCACCCACCCCACCCCACCCCACCCACCCCACCCCACCCCACCCCACCCCACCCCACCCCACCCCACCCCACCCCACCCCACCCCACCCCACCCCACCCCACCCCACCCCACCCCACCCCACCCCACCCCACCCCACCCCACCCCACCCCCCCCCACCCCACCCCACCCCCCCCCACCCCACCCCACCCCACCC